TATATATATATATATATAAATTTTTTTACTGACTAACTCGTTTACTTATCAATTCACTCTTAAATAAGACAGATTATAATGTCTAACACATTTTCACTTAATAAGCTAGTCTAACCCAAATTATTTTTAAATATATTGTATTAACTAAATAAAGTAAAATAACAATATGTTTATGATAGTGAAGTATTTCTTTTAACTAAAATTAAAATAGCATAATATTCCAACTTTCCCATGGTGGAAACTTGTATAAAGATAAAAGTTAAATATAACAGCATAAATAGTAGTAGATACGTATGATTGTGTGGTCAAAATTGAAGTTTTAGTTGAGTATATGTAGGATGGTGTGTTTTAAAATAATTTGGTAGTGAGTATTCCACGTGGTGGTGGAGAGTATGAATGATGATATATATCTATCTCTCTCCACACACATCATTTAGAATGCCACTTTGTTCTTTGTGAAGAAGAAATAAGAGATGGAAGAGGGAATGCAATGCACCAACATTAAGCACCCTCACAGGAACAACCCCGCAGCCATATGCGCCTTTTGTCTCCAAGAAAAGCTTCGCAACCTTCACTCTCCTCCCTCCACTTCCTCCCTTAACCCAAACAACGTTAACACTCCCACCACTAAAAGAAACGCCTTCTGGTCCTTCATCTACCCTTCTTCCAAGCCCAAGCCCAAGCCCAAGCCCAAGCCCAAATGCTCCACCTCCCAAGAGGACACCTCTTTGGTTTCTCGATCCAGATCCGTTGGCTGCGGCACCAGGACCTTCTCCCGGGATTGCACTCTCCGGAGAGTCCAGTCTCAGCGCCATGCCCATGATGCCATTGCCGGGGGTAGGACTTGGGCCTGGGCCTGGGCCTTTGCTAGTCCTATCAGGGCTTTCACCACCAAGGCCTCTTCCAAGAGAGATAACAACCTATCATCCATTCCTTCTTTGCTCGCTGTACGATAACCACCTTTTTATTTGCTTTATGCACATTACCATCTTCTTAACTACTGCATGTACGTGTATTGCCTCTATCTTAATTTCATGCCAAAGTGAATCTAGTGTATTCTTTGTCTTTTCTGTATCGTAGTAATTCGATTCACACTATGATATGCTATGTCAATGTCAATGATGAAAATTTAATTTATATATATATATATACTTTTTCTAGACTCACTATTCACTACCCTACACATGTTTCAGTGGTTACAGTCTTGCAGACAAATATTGGTCATCACTTAATATTAATATAGTCTTATAAATAACTTATTATTCATAAATAAGTTTATTAATAAATTATTCGATCAACAATTATAAAAATTGATAGATCTCATCAGTAATCAAGAGAGACTGTTAAATGAGACAAAACTTATTATAATTTATGATTTTTAATAAATTTTAATCAATAATAGAAAGAGTGTGAAA